ATCTATGCAGAAATAGAAGTATAATGATGTACACCTGAAATTTTTACAATGTTATAAACCAATGTTACTGCAATAAACAAAAAATTAAAAAAAAAAGAAGTGAATAAAGTAAGATATATCCAGTCTCTGACAACATTAAAAAAGGTTGAACAAACTAGACCCCAGTTTAGTTGTGGAACTGAATTCCATTTTGCAGACCCAGGTCTTCCAGAAGCATAATCCTAAATATTTTATTCATACATTCATTAATTTGTTCAGCAAATATTGTTGAGCATAGCTTTGTGCTAGGAATGGTAATAAGTTTTAGGAATAGATTGGTAAACAGACACAGTTTCTGTCCTGAAAGATGGATGCAGAAAAGTGAACACACCTTTAGAATAGAGCATGATGAATGCCATGATAGCAAAAGTTCATGCTACTATAAGAGCATAGGTAAGGGTCATCTAACCAGAATTTGGAAGTACAGGAAAGACTTTTCTGGAAAAAGTATATTCTAAATGGATACATAAAAAACGAGTATGAGTAATCCAAACAAAAACTGGGCGTGGGGTAAAATTTCCTGGCAAACTAAAAACATGATTGTGCAAACCCAAAATAAGGGAAGTGTTTTGTAAGAACTGAAATAGGATCAATACAGCTGAGCCATAGAGCAAGAGGAGAGAAATGGTGAGAGATGAGATTGGAAAGATAAGCAAATATTTTGTAAGCCATGCCAAGGCATTTGGACTCTGCATCAATGGAAAGGGAAGATTATTAAAAGGTTTGAAACATAAAAGTGACAGGACCATATTTTTATTTTTCAAAATATCATCCCGTTTCAGAGTTGAGAATAAATTAGAGAGGAAAAAGACTAGAGACAAGAGACTGATTAGAAGTTGTTGCAGTAACACAGGTAAGAGATGATATTGGCTTCAACTAGAAATGCAGTAATAGAGCTGTATTAGAATGATAAAGATAAAATATACAGGATGTGGTGATAGTTTAGACTTAGAGCAAGTGGGATAACTAGGAGTGAAAGTAAATGTACATTTTCAGTCTTAGGGAACTGAACCAACTGAATGTTGGTGCTATTAGAGAAAACACAGGAAGAGGAGAAGAGAAGAAAGGGTATAGAGCTGGAGAAGATGTTTAGTTCTGAGAAAGAGAAAATTTTAATTTAAAACATGCTGAGTTTGAGGTGTCCGTAGAACATCTATATAAATAGTTATATAAAGGACCTTCCATTACATAAATGAAGTTGAGGAAAGAGGTTTGGGCTGCAGAGACAAATTTGGGATACATTGGTATAAATGGTGATTGTAGGCCTTCAAGAAATAATGTAAGGTGTAGATTAAGAGAAGTATGTTTGAATTTCTTATTTCAGAGATGATGCATCTCTAAGAGACTACCATCTCCAGAAAGTGGCCATGGCCATAGGTGACTAAACTAGAGTAGAAGTGAATGTCACTAGAGATGAAGAGGGCTAGAAACAGCGACAGGTCAAACTCCTGGACTCAGAATTGCGGCAAGAGATGGACGGATGGAAACCGTAAGAAGTTATATTTGAGAGATAAAATGTCTCTACACCCCTTCTCTCCCATGATCTTGATTAATTTAATACCAAACTGATATCCAGGTGATTTGATTCTCTCATTTGATAACTCTCATGTGCAAAGACTATTTAGGCAGGAAGGTTTGCTAATTTCTTTCAGCACATCCAAGATATCTTACTTTCTTTTAGTTTCCATTGCTACTGTTGAGAAATTGTCAACAGGGAACATAGCTGTCTGTTTAACTGTCATGTGTTTAAATATTAACTTTTTCCTATGCCTTTTCTTTTTTCAAAAAGATGTCTCTTTCTCTTTGTCTTTCTGAAATTTCACAATGATGTTTCCAGGCATGGTTATCTTTTATTTATCCTGTTAGGTTTATTTGGGTCTCTTGAATCTGTGCATTGACATTTTCATCAATTCTGGAAAAATCCCAGCCATTATTTTTCCAAATATTGCTTCTGATCCAATCTTTCTCATCTCTTTTTCTGGAATTCGGTTAAATATATGTTAAACCTTTGTACTCTATCTTATGTTTCTAACCATGTCCTCTGTATTTTTCATCTTATTAACTCTCTGAGTTGCATGCTGGATAAATTATATTCTGACCTATATTTCACTCCATGAATTCTTTATTTGGTTGTATCTAATTTTCTATTAAACCTTTTATTCAGTTTTAAATTTTGATTATCATATTTTTCAGTTCTAGGAGTTCTATTTGGTTCTTTTCTGTCACATTTTATGGTTTCTTGTTCCCTGTACATCTTCAAGTATAACTTTTATTTAAATTAAAATGGTTAGCGTATTACAGACTGTGTCTGATAATTAAAATATTTGAAGTGTTTGCAAGTTTATTTCTGTGTTCTGTGTTTTCTTCTGGCTCTCACTAATAGTGTCATGTTTCCTTGTGTATGCATTTATCTTTGTGTTCAAGTTAAGAACTTAAAAATTATTTATATGAATAATTCTGGGCTTAGAATGAATAAACATTCTTTCATAGGAGGTATGCATTTGGTTCTATCAGGATCTGGGAGCACTACCTGTCAATAACCACCTTAAATCAAGTTAAATGCTAACAATCAAGTTCAAAGCTGAAATTCCACACAAGGGCTCATCCATTTCCAGTTTACTTTCACCCTAAATGTGTACCTCTTAAGGATCCAAATTAATTAATGCCCAGGTCTTCTATAAACTTCTTACTTTGTTAGGCTTTGATTTCCTCCCTCATTATAAAAATCATCAAAACAGAGGTTCACATTTCCCAGGATTCCAAATGTTCCCAGGGAAAAAGTGGATTTGAGGCTCATTTATCTCTCTGGATTACCTTTAAACATTAACTGTGACCTGACAATATATTAGTGTCTTATTAGCTAATTGTTTTCAGTGGAAGCATTGGGCTACATAATCTATACCATCCTTATTAAAAATGTAAAGTCTTGGGGCCGACCCGGTGTCGCAAGCGGTTAAGTTCGCGAGCTCTGCTGCGGTGGCCTGGGGTTCGCTGGCGGGATCCTGGGGCGCAGCCATGCACTGCTTGGTAAGCCATGCTGTGGCGCATCCCATATAAAGTGGAGGAAGATGGGCACGGATGTTAGCCCAGGGCCTCAGCAAAAAAAGAGGAGGATTGGCAGATGTTAGCACAGGGCTGATCTTCCTCACACACACAAATGTAAAGTCTCAAGGATATTGTTATGTCCCCAAATTACAAGTAAACTCTTAGCTTTCATGGTATAGAGGCAATTGATCTTGAGAGGATAGAGAAATAATATGTATTTTTTACCGTCTTCAACTGATCAATACTAAATGAGCTCTATAATGCTGCAATCAATTTAAACAATCTCTTGGAAGACATAATTGCTATCATTGACATTGGTATAGCTCCCACTTCTCTCTGCACCCCTTATTCTCCTATATATGAACACATATCTTCTTTCCTACAGCTGTTCCTTCTTCTCTCCTTCCAATGTTTATTTACATATTTGTATATTTCTAAAAATACAAGATATTATATATTATATGGCACTGTACTATAAATCTCAGTCTCTTTCTTCCTTTTAAAACATTTGGGATTTATCCATGTGGTTGTATGTACACCTGGTTCACTCCTTGTGATCACTGCATAGTACTCCTTCATAAACATTTCCACATTTTGTTTATCAATTGCTTTACTGATGGATATGTAGGTGGACTCCTATTCTCGGCTCTCTCAAGATGAACATTCCTATGCACATCATTGTGAAGCTGTATAAGAGTTTTCTGGCTTATATACCCCAAAGTAGAAGTGATGGATCATAGGGTATGTACATACTAAATACTATTGAAAATCTCTCAAAATGGCTGTACATGTGATTTCCTATTGTTCCACTTAATATTACCCAAATTTCTCATCTTTACTAACGTTATGGATGTAAATTGGTGTCTTATTTTATGCATTTCACCAGCTAATGTGGTTGAGCATTACTTCATGTTCTTTTCAGACTTTCTGTATTCCATTTTTAATTTCCTTTCCCTTTTATCGTCTTAAAAAATCTTACTGACTCTCCTGACATTTTGATTTTTGCTGATCTGCAAGAGTTATTTGAATAATCTAAATACTAATCCTTCTCAGTTAAGATGCTGCAAGTAGCTTCTGTCAGTCTGTCATATGCTAGCTTGCCTGTGCTATCCTCTAGTTTTGAGGTAGTAATATTTGTCAAGTTTTATCTTTATTTTTTGTACTTTTAAAGCCTTGTTTAAGAAATTCAAACTGATAGTAAGCTCATAAATATATTTTTACCTAGATTTATTACATTTTTTCCCATTAAAGTATTTCAGATTCACCTCTTAGATCCATATGAAGTTTATTTTTAGATGGTATGAGATAAGGATTTTGTTTCTTTATGAAGTGAGCCAATCTTCCCAATAACATTTGCTGAGTAATCATTATTGCCCCTACCCTCAGTGACCAAATTCTCTTCTATAAAAGGATCTGAACCTGGATTCTATTTTATCTGGTAGTCTACAAGTTTGTTCCTGAATTATTCAAATAGGATATTCTGTTCTTATCTATTCTTATTCTTATGCATAAGAAACATAAGATTTGCTTCTTATGACTCTGAGGGACAAAGAGGGTCCAAACATTCTTTTTCAGGATTTTATTGCTTAAATGTCTATTTAAATGAAATTCTCACAACTAGTAAATATCTATTGCAACACAAAATAAAACCAATAAAAATAGTGTGAAGCAAAGAACAAATGATTCCTAAGGAAATTGAAATTTGTCTCACTTATTTCACAATGTCAAGTAAAATTCCATTTTACTACATCATTTAGTCTATAATATTTAATTTTATGGGAGAAATTATAGAAATGTCTATGCGCAGTAGCTTTAAATCCACACTACATTCTAGCTATCAAAATCTCTACTATAATCCTCTGTTGAACTGTCCACTTTTAGATTGGAGACTTTATAATTTGTAACACCATTAGGCATTTAAAACCATAAATACAGACCCATTCTTTCTTTGTGGATAACTGAGAGAGGCCACAAAGTATTAAGGACTTTTTATATTTACTCTTAAAAATCAATTGGAAACTGAACCTAATTTATTTCTTTAACAGTTTAAATTTTCATTTTAATTTCTTAAGAAGTTTTTATCTGTAATCTTCTGAGGGAGGGTTATTTTACTCAAGATGATACTATGAACTACATTCTAGCTAAGTAATGATCAATATAAAATAATACAAATTTAAACTAGCAGACATGGCATATTTAAAGAAAACAAAATAGCAATATCAAGACCCAGAACATTATAAGACTCCTCCCCACAACAGCATCAACAACAACAACAAAGGAAAATTACTTAGAAATCAATAATTTCCAATGTGATCACTTCTATTTTGTCATAAAGTGAAAAACACTACATAACAAAAAGCAAACAAATAAGGTACCTGAGTACTGAATATGGAGAGGTTGCATTTTTTACCCTTTATGATGAAAATTTTCAAAGCAAATAGTGCAATAAAGTCCAATATACTTTCCACCCAGATCCAATAGCATTTTTTATTTTTCCTTTGATGAAATGTCTAGAAGTAAATTACATATATTGTGGCATTCACTTTTAATATTTCAGTTTGCACCTCCAAATAATCAATAACATTGTCTTGCATAACTGCATTATCACAACAAAAATATTAGCGATAACTCTGTTAATATAATATTTTTGACCAAATAAAAAAAAACACAGAAAGTGCACAGATTATATTTCCATGTCATTATAGCCACTAAAAAAAGATTTTTAAAGCAACTGTGAGGAGACTGTAAGAAATGATAATACATGCAACTATAGTGCAACCTAAAATCTATTACAGATAGGCAAAAACTAGATGCTTTCTGCTAAGAATAATAAAGAAGGAGAAGTTTAAAATAAATTATTTTATTGACTGTTGAATCCAAAGCTATTCCTAAAGTTCTCATTTCCTGCCATATTCCCACCAGTATCATGGACTGGAAGACTGGGGATAATCGGCTTCAGAAATCTAAACTCATTTGTCCCAGTACCTCCCCTCAGACACACCTCATACTGGTAACTCTGGGACAGGGTCCCAGTACCGCTGACGTCCACCAGGTGGCCCGGAAAGTGGCCCTCAGGCACCGAGCAGCGACCCAGCGAGGCGGCCCTGCTCCTCCCGCACAGCCGCACCGCGATGAACGCGAGCACCGAGAAGAGGAAGAGCGACGACACCGCGGCCAGGGCGATGACCAAGTAGACGGTGAGCGGGTCGG